TAAAGATTCAACTTACGTCAAGTTCCAAACTGAAATCGTCGGCTAAAAACTTCAGCATTCCCTTAATGTGAGCGACAGAACCAACCGGCGCCAATGCAAAGAACTTCCGTATCTGCAATGACACATAAACTACGGAAAAATGAAATCAAAATTTAGGTTGGGAACTTCGATGTTAAGATCTAAATAACATGTGGAAATGGAGAACAAAGGTTTACAGTCCATCTCTACTAGTAGAGCTAATCACTGGAGCGAAAATGAAACTCTCACTCTTCTGATGAGGCCAGGAGCAAGTGAATGTGTCGGTGCTCAGGAAAAACAGAAGTTCTAACTACCTTCAGTGAAGCAAGCGAAGAATTTGTGTGACCGAGCGTCAACTTCTTACAATTAGATCAGAATTTCCTCCTACTTGTAATCCGTGACTAGCTCGAATCACCGTTCGGGTGGTATTCATTGGAAGGGCAGTTCTAGAAGAGATTACCCAGTGGTTTCGAGCCCGAATCGTCAGATGTGATAATAGATGGGACAGGATGGTTCGCAAAGCTCTAATTGAAGGAGGGGAAGAAATGCGAGGCTTACAGTTAGGGCAAGGTGTGAATTGGTAATGCAGGATTTATTGAAGTGAGAATGTACGCCGTCAAATTCTGACCTAATGTCACATATCCTTTTCTTCGCCTTTTTAGGCATTTACATATAAAGGACAATAGAACCAACAGCTTTGATACTTTGAAGAATCTTTTTGAATGGCGGCTAGTGGTTATCATGACGAATCTCAAACGAACCTTATCGGAGAAGGCTTGATCCATGGAGAGCTTTGAAAACATTGTCAATGTGCCCTGTGAATGGCCGATGTAATAGAGATGCTGTTGTCCAGTGGTGGTCAGCGCCATGTCGATCATCGCCTCAAGATCGTATTTTGCCATCTCATCCCATCTGAATGCAAAAATACGAAATTCTTTCTTTTCACCAGAAAATAGCAAGGAGCTTCAAACAGGAGTTTGTTAGAAGGTTTGAATTCAGCTTCTTCAGATCGGAAGAGGAAAAAGAATGATTTCACAGAAATGCCGGCTTTAATCTAACTTCTGCAGACAGAAATGCTCACTGGCCCTTTTGCCAAAAAGGTAGGATATCACTCTATCTATAGAGTTTGCATGATTTCGTGGATAAGTGGTACGTTTTTAAGGATTCGATATCAAGGTCTTTCACTCACGTCCATTCCCAGAATTTATCGTGTTTGGGACTCAAACTGACGTGCTTGGTACTGTAAGTGTTTCCTCTCATATTTCCTAGCCAAACATCAAATCCTGCATCTGCGAACATGAACCCTGCAATAATTGGGATCAGGACTGAAAAGGAAAACTTCAATATCCTTTCAAAGATGAAGAGTGGATAACAACAACGGATAACGATGAATTTCATAATATTTTTCGAGAGCAGACTTTGCTGAATTTATGGGCCTGTGGGCACAAGTGGTGCTGTACTGAAGTGTTATGCGTACCGTAAAGAAGAAGAGTTATCACAATTGAAGAAACCCATGAGGGTAGCCAGGTTGAGAGCAGAGGGGTATAGCACTTGGGGATGTGGTGAAGATTCTCCAGAGGCAGAGGGCATTCCTAGCAAAAAGTAAAGCAATCGGGAGTCGTATTCTCTGGCTGCAAACCAGTCAAAGTGTATCCGGCACAAGGAACCCTGACTCCTCCGAGATCTACTAAGGAAGGAAGATGGAAAAGCAGTAAACAACAGGGGTTTACCGTTGAAGAAAAGTCGAAATGTGAAAGAACTGGTTATGATTGTTCAAGAAAGACTTGTCCAGAAGTAACTCAAGGCTAGGAGAAAACTCTTTAGAAAACCCTAACGCTCACATGCAACACAAGAGGGGCAATATCGTACAAAAACTAATCGCAAGACACCTAGTTACCTGCACTTTCCTCTGGCAAGTTAGTAATCCAGTTGCTGCTACTGCATTCCAATCCATGCTGCATGAATACCACCGGTCTGGGAGCAGTAGGCTTGGCATCTGGAAATCTCACTTCATGGGAGTATTCATCAGCCTGCGTCTCATTTTCATTGCCAGCAAATGGTTAATGATGGAGCGTAGAAGGTATCAAAATCAAATATTACCGTGCGCGACTAAGAAGCACTACAGTACATGCTGCTAGAAAATCATATAGTGTTCAGATACAGGAGACGCAGGAGAGCAGAGAACAGTGGCCCACGGTGCCGAAGTTTTCTGCTGATCTCCGTCTCCTGCATGTGAACCAGGGCGCCCATGATGCTATTTACACTGCAGATTGATGATTTTATTTGAACTTGCAGTTATAGCATATCATCAACTCGTAAATAAACAGTTTTATTTACAAATGTGAGAATACTCACCATTTCTTCCATATGGAATCCTATGTAACTCCAGGATATAACCATCTTGGGTGGTTACTGTGTGAATTTCAGCCGGATAACCCCAATGTTCGATTATTTGAGGCTTAATGACTTCTTCAGGAGCATATTCAGTAGGCAATCGAATAAAAACACCCTCACCGTTGTCATTTTACACTCAGGATCTTCATGCTTTTTAGCCTGAACATTGTAGACGACAAGACAAACCACGAGCACCCAGTGTAGCATGATTTGCAGTGATTCCGATAAGGCATTACGCTCGTTATCGACTATTCCAAAATAATTACCAACACGCCTAGGATGCTTGTCCAGAATGCTTTTCGGTGACGGGGTGATAAGACGAGCCAGAAGGACTCAACTACTTGATCGGAGAGAAAAACTAAGTAGTCTCTCAGACGCTTCAACAGAATCTGCTCCAGTGCCTAAAATATGTCCTATCATTTTTGAAGGAATGGTCTTCAGAAGAAGAGTCGTGGATTAAGCCCCTCCTCTGCCTCTTCGCATGTCTGTTCCTTTGAAANCAAACCTCACAAAAAGGCGAACTCTCGCTATTTTTTCGTCATAACTCGGCTCGGGGGTAAGCTTTTTTGGAGTTGGACGCTCCGTTGAAACTTCATTTATAAAAGTGCCACATGACCCAAATCAAATATGTTCAATCCAATTAATAGGGCGGAACAAGATGGCAAAAAATGCCACCTAGATCCCTCCCACGCCCGTGCCCAAGACCCTTGGACGTGCCCTATATGTGACAGATGTTCGGCGACTTCGAAAATGTGAAACGGGTAATGGGTGAGCCACCTAGCAAGCAATTAAGAATTCCTGTATTTATATATGTGTGCTGTATGTAAAAAATTTATCTAAAAGATTTATTAGAGACTCTAGAAAAAGTTCAGTTTCCAAATTGCAATGCTGCTGCCAGCCTTCTGTCGAATTCTTGCACACTCATTCTTTGCGGTCTTTGTTTCTCATCAGATTGCCTGATCCTGAAACGATTTTTCCAGTTTTAACCGGCAGTTTTGCACTAGAATAATGTTCATTTTTGAGCTCATTTCGATATTGGAACAGTTGCTGATGAGCTTCTATAATACTTAAGGGCGCATGAATTTCAAATCAAAATTCGCTCGGATGGAAAAACTGATTCATGCTTTGGGATAGTAAATTTAAGTCGAAATTCTCGGAGATTATTATGATGCCGGCCAACAGAAAGACGTTGGATACTTAAGGGTTCCCGTATGTTCTCGGTGGCTGCTTTCATAGTCCGCCGGCGTGCCAGGTTTTTGGTCTTGTCTTTCTTTGTTTACAGCCCTTCGAAGGGACTTGGGCGCGGCGCGACCGCGTCGACCGACCGTCTGCCTCCCTCCTCGACCATAGCACTGCCTCGGCTGGCACGCCGGCACGCCGGCATGCACGCCGGCGGACTGTGAAAGCAGCCAGTGAGTATTTTGAGACGCATGATCCGAGCGTGCTTTGTAGTGCTAGGCGCTTCTTTCAATGTACATGTATAGAGGACGAATGCCCACCTTTTAACAATACCTTCTACAGTAACTCGATCTGGCGCATCTTTTGAACCAGTCTTAAAAACGTTGTATTGCCATCTGAAATCAGGAGATATGAATTGCTCTTACATAATCTTCAAAACAAAGCTCAACTATACCCTTTGACCACTGCAAGGCAAAACGCTGGAGAGCCATCTGCATTGGTATGGTCGGGAATAGTCCAGTGCACCTCTGTAATACTTCAAAACACTTCCGACAATAATTGTATGTTTGTTTGCCTATTAGACGTCTATTAGACGATGCTGCTCCAACTCTAAATCTCAAGTGTATCCTCCTTTTCTGGCATCTGCGGCTCGTGAAACCGCCATAAGGTAGATATGTGTACTAGCTCCAACAGATCCGACCACTTCATCCAGCCAAACTCCACTGTCAGCCAGCCGAGCTAAGAAAGTCAGGTCAGGCAGAGGGAGAACTACTGGGAATCTCTAAACCCTAAAATTAGATCGTAATTGAGGATCCAGCCTCCCGAATGCCATCTGATAATTGAACACAGAGATCTAATTCCTCAAAGCTTCCATCCTTCTAAGGTAACTCATTCGTTCTGGTAGCACCAGACTTTCTAGGTGACCATTCAGTGTATGGCCACTAGAAATCAAAAATTTCAAAAAAAAATCAAAATCAAATTCACAACTCTATTCCTTGTTCCAAATGGTAAAGCAAGTGAATAGAGTATGTATACGGAGCCACTCCTTCAACAAGCCTATTTCACACCACACCATTAATAATACTTATGATCACGACTTGTTGTAGATGTGAGAACAACTGCTATGCCACGGTCGAACATCCTGCGATGATTGTGAGCTGATTAAGTAATATTAAATTATAGATTTATGAAGATTTATTGCCACTGGTTGTTACGGAGCAATGCAGAGGGCTTCTCCACTGCTGCAAACGCATTTATCACACTTGCAGTCCTCATTCTTTGTGCATGGATCACCAATCTCGTAGATAGGTTGACCAAGATAGTTTCCTCTGAAAGTCTTCTCTCAACTGTAGTAAGACTAATCTACGTCATCAAAAAATTACGCTTACGCAGAATCGTATTCGCATGCCGCGAGTGTCATGTCACTACACCACTCTACTGCGCATCCAATCTTGTTGCTCCACTGCCACACCACCTTAAAATATTACATACCTCTTTAATCAGCTATCATCACCTTTCACAGATCTCCATATTACCTGAGTGTAATGGCCAACGCCACGATTGAAAACTGCCATGGTCATTACGTTATCATCAGGAACACCATGTTGTTTTAGTTCATCGAACCAAAGATCAACACTCTTGAATAGAAGTTCTTTATCGCTAAACACTACGAAGGCTGAGTTTCCTCACCTCGGCTGCTACTACTGTCTTATTTTGTTTGAGCACAGATGACATATAAAGGTTCTGTCCCCAATAGTTCCTGTCAGCATAGGAATTATGCGCGAAAACGCATTTCTTGGCGAAATTCATTGTATTCTCCTCGATAGCGCAATCGTACTTCTGTAACAAACGATATTCAGCTTGGCTCACACTCCGTGAGCCTCCTTTCCGTAAGCCCTATCTCGCTGAGCCTGTTCATACCATTTTAAGCATCCTAGCTGCCTTCGGTGCGTTACCACCAATTCCGTTTTGAGCCTCTCCTTTGGCAACGAGTGTTCTAGACAATTCTAATAATCATAATGTATTCCAGCAATATCATTGACTCACTAGAAAATCACCAACCGATACGCGTTATGTTTGTCTAGGAAAGCCTGCCTTACTTCATCAGACATTCCGTTATTGTCTGGGCACATAGCTGGAATTTGGGTCTGTTTGTGGTGTTTCCACTATGGAGATATATAGGTTATCGGAATTAACTTACATGCATGCCCAGATGTGCTTAGGAGCACCTAAAAATGCCTGTTTAGTGACTCCTTGAAAGCAAACAACGACGATGAGCGCGAACTCACCAAAAAGGCGACCGTGGCCAGTGAAAACATACTCCGCAGCGAATGTGCATGTCTGCTATGCAACCACACACCTTTATATACCAGTCAGAGGATAGATTCAATCTGTCTAAAAACTCAAAATTGAAATAAGGGTCATTGTTGTGTCAATTTTCCTCTTAGCTTCGAAAGCACACATTGAAACCGAAAATTCACGTGCCATCGATTAATCGACTAAATTGGCTATATTGCAAAATGGGTATTCGGAAAGTCACTACGGTTGTGAATGGAACAGGAATGCTGAGGCCTGTCGTAATAGTGAGACTGATTAATGTAAGAGACTAATCCTCAGTTAATTCTTGAGTAGAATTTCGAAGGTTCTACCACTCCAAACAACAGTGGTATGCTCTATCCTCTGTCTTACCATGGCTGGACAGGTTACAAAAATCGTTCTCAGATTAAGCAAAACAAAATATAGAGTTGGGAAGGAGTTCTAGTGAAAACTCAGCGGTCATTTCTGTTTTCAACATACGGTTGCACTTGGTACACACAAGGCTTTAAGTTTAAATTCAGCTCGCTTAATTCAAGTGAGTTTGGTTTCAATTAAGCCGATTAATCGATGGCAAGGGAATTCTCGGTTTCAATGTGTGTTTTCGAAGCTAAATAATGAAAGGAAAATTGACACAACAATGACCCTTATTGGAGTTTTGAGTTTTTAGACAGATGGAATCTATCATCTGACTGGTATATAAAGGTGTGTGGTTGCATAGCAGACATGCACATCCCCTGCGAAGTATGTTTTCGCTGGCCACGGTCTCCTTTTTGGTGAGTTCAAGCTCGCATTCATCGGTGTTTGCTTTCGAGGAATCACTAAACAGGCATTTTTAGGTGCTCCTAAGCACAACTGGGCATGCATGTAAGTTAATTCNTGATCCAAATTCCAGCTATGTGCCCAGACAATAACGGAATGTCTGATGAAGTAAGGCAGGCTTTCCTAGACAAACATAACGCCTATCGGTTAGTGATTTTCTAGTGAGACAACGATATTGCTGGAATACAATATAATCATTAGAATTGTCTAGAACACTCGTTGCCAAAGGAGAAGCTCAAAACGGAATTGGTGGTAATGCACCGAAGGCAGCTAGGATGCTGAAAATGGTATGAACAGCCTTACCGCAGCGAGATAGGTTTTACGAAAAAAACATCAACAGTGAAGCATGCTGAATATCGTCTATTACAGAAGTACGATTGCGCTATCGAGGAGAACACAATGAATTTCGCCAAGAAGTGCGTATTCGCGCATAATTCATATGCTGACAGGAACTATTGGGGACAGAACCTTTATATGTCATCTGTGCTCAAACAAAATAAGACAGTAGCAGCAGCCGAGGTGAGAAAATCCAAAATTTGCAGCAATTCGGGAGAGAAGCTTTTTCTTCTGTTTCTATTCAAGAGTGTCGATCTTTGGTTCGATGAACTAAAACAACATGGCGTTCCTGATGATAACGTAATGACCATGGCAGTTTTCAACCGAGGCGTTGGTCATTACACTCAGGTAATATGGAGATCTGTGAAAGGTGATGATAGCTGATTGAAGAGGTATGTAATATTTCAAGGTAGTGTGGCAGTGGAGCAACAAGATTGGATGCGCAGTAGAGTGGTGTAGTGACATGACACTCGCGGCATGCGAATACGATTCTGCGTAAGCGTAATTTTTTGATGACGTAGATTAGTCTTACTACAGTTGAGAGAAGTATTTCAGAGGAAACTATCTTGGTCAACTTATCTACGAGATTGGTGATCCATGCACGAAGAATGAGGACTGCAAATGCACCCAATGTGTATGTAGCAGCGAAGAAGCCCTCTGTATTGCTCCATAACAACCAGTGGCAATAAATTTTCGTAATCCTATGATTTAACTTTACTTGATCAACTCTCGTTCATTACAAAATGCACGACTGTGGCTTAGCAATAGTTCTTACACTTACAGCAAGCCGTGATCATAAGCAATATTGATGGTGCGAAGTAGGCTTGCTCAGGAGTGGCTCAATAGATGTACTCTATTCGCTTGCTCCACCATTTGGAACGAGAAATTGAGTTTGATTTTCAGCTGTAACCCCCTTAATGTACACTTAAAACGTCATGTTCTTCACAATTTGCATTACGAAAACTACCATTGTCAAAGATGGCAAAAATTCAGGAGTCAACAAATTCCTGAATTAAATTTTCAATTTGACGGAAAGCATCAAAAGTTGTCAACTGCCGTACTCACTCCTGCTAGTCGCTCGAGCTAACATTAGGGAAGTGATAGAAACTTCAGAATGAACAGTTAGATAATTTAGTTATTTGAACTGCTTGAATCACGGGAACTCCGACAAGGGGACTCTGCGTCCCATGCAAATGCCTGGTTTATCAGGCTGAACAACTTTCCAGCAATACTGCGAGTACTGTTAACGATATCCCTCCCCTGGCCAGTGAGCAATGGTGGTAGTATTTGGGCTTTGAGCTATTTTATTAGGATTGGATTTCGAGTATTTCAGTCTTTCGAAATTTGGAAACGGTCTCAGTGAACTTCGGAATTCTCAATAAAGTACATACCGTCAGATACGAGATCAGGACTTCGTATGATGAGCACACCCCATGATCCTCCATAAATATCCTCAATGATACGTCTTATAATCTGAAGAAGACATGTTGTGCTTGCAAAATCGTTCCGAAACCACCTGAGCATTGAAAAAAACAAGAGTTCAAAAAGGAGGGGAAAATGATTCGACAGAAATAGGTCAGTTGGTGTACGTTGAGAATAACTGCTCGAGTTGCACAATTCTCTCTCAATTTTTTTAAAAAAAAGGATATAAAAAATATACGTATACAAAAATAGCCCAGTATATAAAAAAAATCAGTGGGATTGATACAAAAGGGGATGTGACCAGGAATTAAGAAACCCTTGCCTGCATTTGAGTTGTAGGATCATTAGTAGCATTCGAAGCACGACCAATGATGGAATGAATCGGAGCCATAGGACAGTTGTTGAGAACTGAGAAAAGAAAAGATGAAAAAACTTTGTTTTTCCTCGTCTAACATATTTTGCCGTGACTTTTTGTCACTCTTCCGTTTTGTTTCCAATGGTTTCGCTTAGATAATTGAATTCACGGTCGCAGGTGGTGTATTGGCAGGTGGCGCATTACCAAAAACGCATGGTCACTGGTTCGATACCCACTCAGAGCAACCAAGCGTTCTATCTCGCCAGGGCCCAGTTGATAACACACCCATTTGGGAGAACAATCACCTGGACATCGCAAGATTTCGAATGGAAGTTAAATGGCGGGGCGCATCCCTCAGACGGGATTGACCAACACCCAATTGCAACTATGCTTAAATAAAGCCACAACAAGTTCAAGTAACTAATTTGATGTGGCGAGCACGAAGGTAGAGCGCTATCGAGGAAACTAAAAACCCGAATTAGAGCCAACAATCGCTACTACTTGCCAAAACTTTCAAAATTAGAAAGAAAATATTCAAAGACAGTCACAACTTTCGGCTTGTTTGATTTTCATGTTGAAGAAAATGCTGTAAAGGAATCAAAACCCACCTGCAATAGCTGGCACTATTTGTAAAATCAATGCATAGAATTTCATGCTGGAATGTGAGCAACCTGAAACCAATTATAAGATTAAGGAGATTGAATTTTGGACTTTGAAGAGTCCTAACGCCATTTTTATGCCATTTATCTTCAAATTAAGTGAACCGTACTGATCAGCACGAAATTGTTTACGATTCCCTTCATAGCACAATGACGGTAAAAATGGTTCCTGAGATTTCTCCCTAGGACGAACCTGTGGCCACCAAGGAGAGTACAACGGACGTTATCAGTTCATGGAATGGCTTAGAAAGGGCGTAGTAGTAAAGGCCCTAAAAATCTCCTGTGCCGACGTACACACCCTTACGGACGAGTGCTCTCTGCGTTGAAGAGGCTGTAGAGGCTGAATCATACGCCCCGGTACACACTCGTTGCACGCAAGCAGCTTACTGTAGCAGACTGTACGGATTGGAAGCCACATTTGAACAGCTCGTCCGTATACCCCTTCCGTGCAACTTTTGTTGTAACGTTCTTGTCTTACCTCTCATTTTACTGCTTCTTTAAAGTGTTAAAGTCTCTTAATTTTTGTAGTACTGGATTAAATTTTCTTCCGTTTACTAATTTTCAAGGTTAAAAAGAATCAGTTCCTGATGGATGTACCTTTGAGCAACTTTTACTTGTCTGTTTGATCTTTGAAAGCTTAATTAATAAAATGCATCTAGGGCGGACCTTAGAAAGCAGCAGCTTCTATTAATTCTTTCTAGGAAATATCTGCAGGAAATTTTGCATTAGTCTAGATTTTTTCCAGGGAAGTCCTGAAAGTTCCAAAAGAATCACTATGTGTAAGGACGCCATCGCTTTCTATGTGCACAACATATTCGGCTCTCACTTCCCCTCTTAACCCTACAATGGCCTAACTGTCTCTCGATATTTGGCTCTTACTTCTTTCTGAAATTGAATTCTGCCACTCTGCAGCTTAACCTGTGTCAAATACTTGACCTTGTACCCTGCTTATGAGCGGCTCAGTGAACATCTTGCCCCAAAACATCCGAAGATCGTAAACGGACCCCTATAAGGTCAACCGATTGCAATGTTACGAAATATCCTTATATGTTATGCACATTGTTATTGTTATGTCCAAGTGAGAAATGCCCTTTTATACTAAAGCTAAGGAAATTCCCGAAACCCCATCTGGGCTTTCGCGAAGACTTCGGCAGACACTTACTGAAAGTTCAAATACTTTTTAATAATCCTGTTCAGCGCCCCAATAACTTCAACATATTGGTCTCAAAGTAAAGCTAGACCTTTCTAGGCCTTTTCACGATTCCGTGAGAAAAATCTGGTCATGATCGAAAGCTATCGGAATCAGGTGGCAGATCCCAGAAAATATCTGCAATTTCACGGATCTCGTTGAATAGATTTTAATAGACCTACAGGCCCCTTCTCTTCTTTGGATCAGAAAAATCAGAAAAATCAGAAAATGAAGAAATCATGACAGAAGCAAAAAACGCCTCTCAGACATAAAAAAGAGACGAGTCTGACAAATCGTTTGAAAGGGAACGTGCGCCGTTGGCATCTAAAAGTCGTGCTGAAAGCAACAGTATCCGGTTCTATGGGGACTTGTTCTTTTCAAACTGTCACTTCGGGTAGCAATTATTCAACAAGTCGTGTAGCAAGTCAAGGATGTACTTGACCTTCCATGGAAAACGAAAGTAACATCATGATCACAACATTGTTAATTTTTTTTCTATATACTCGTGGCACTCCTCATTAATCGCCCATACTAAGAGCTGAGGTGAGGCGCTGAACTACCGCCTGGGCAAACCGTGATCTTCACACCACAAAGCACCAAGACACATCACTGTCTATTTTTAAACATCTCCCGCCGTTATCCGAACTCAAACAGACGTGCTATAAAAGCTCCATCGTAGGTTCCTTAGCCAAACATGAACGCTGCAGGAAATGTGGTCAAGGATAAAGAAAAATGATTGTTTTTCTCCCTCTATTGCTACAGATTCACCTCATCATAATGAAGCTCTTCATAATTAATTGGATGGTAAATATAAATTGAAAGGCGTTGATCCCCGTTTCTAGGACACGCCTAGCATTCGACTTCCATTCATAGTCGTATGGCGGTTTAAATGCTATGTGGCATATATAGTGGCCAGCCGATGTACAAGCCAGTGCTCTTATCCTCCAAAACTAGTTTGATGCCGATTAAGTGACCCCGGAGGGATGAAAGACTTCTTTAGCCTAGGCGAATATCGAGCCAGGATCATGTGAGCTATAATATTAGTGCGCCACTTGCCATCACACCACATCCGCCCAAAGCGATGCCCGCCAGTCGACTGAATGTTGGGTTTTTTCGGAGGGTCTCCCACACTACATATTGGCTTTCCGTAGGGATGCTTCTCATTTCCTTTCGGTAGTTACATTGAAGAATTAAAACAATTTATTAACGTCTTTGTACTAAACTTAATGAGAAGCTCCTCGTTCAGCTTCTCTCAATATCTACTTGAGAACACATAGGAATACGTAAATTAGATTACAAATGTACATATGAGCATAATGCTGCTGCTATTGAGCTGCTCGAGGTGGCGGTGTGACAGCGGTGGGTTGAGGTGGTTTCCATTGGAAGGCTTCATAACGATCATTGAAGGAATTCATGAATGCCACTTTAGCTGCTGACTCGGCTGTAGCACGATCTTTCTGTAACCATAAACCTTTTTTCAATTAAAATTACTTTCAAGTATGACCTAAAAATTGAGGGGGAGTCTCTGAAGCTTCAAAAAGGGTCAGAGCGCTAAAAAGCTCATCAAAAACGAGGTTTTGTAGTTGACCCCTGTGGGCGGGTCGTGGCCGCACTCTCATGGTGCTACCCCAGACTTCAACCCTTTACCAAGTTTTGAACTCACGTCAAATTCTGTCCTGAAGATACTTCTGTAATGGCATTCTTTACTGGCACGGAATCTTGAGAAAAGTGTCATCATTAGGTTCTGAAATGATCTGTTGGATTCTGAGTAATTGAGGAGTGCCGTCAACAACATACGTTGTATGTCATGCAGTCCTTCGAGCATGTTTCATGGTCCGGCTTGATGAGCTCTTTTTCTGTCCAGATTTCCTAGGGAGAAATTAGCAATGAATAGTTTAGTTTTTGACGTCGGTTTATCCCGTTTGTTTGCCTTCCACATAACCGGTGAAGTGGTGGTGGTGTAAGCATGCAGAGGAGACCTGTGCAAGACTCGTGGGAGTCCATCCATGTGCATGTCACGGCTTTCCTACTCCCATGGTGGATAGTACCGATTGAGCTGTCTAGGAGATAGGAAGGTCTAGGTGGACTGCAAAGCGGGATCTATTCTTAGGTTCCAGATTCCCAGTTAATTATTCCACTGCCTGAATTTCTGCAACCGAGCTGCCAAACATTTAAGAAATAGAGTTGCTTCAGGTGGAATTCCGTCTGACATCAAATTTCGAGGATGGTATGTGCTAGGACCGTCGGTTGCCTGTGCTCTACCCCCATCTTATATCGTGTAAGTAAAAGTTACCGGCCAAGAGATGGTGACCTTGTCGTCACCGAACAATTTCCAAAGTGCCTCTTTAATGACGTATAACAGATTGAACGGCGGTGGCACTGAAGATGACCAAGCAAAGTATTCCGAATAGATGACAATGCGAGTGTATTTGAATTCACTTTCTTCGTTTTCCTGAAGTGAACGTCCTGAATGGCTATAATATATAGCGAATGAGTAGAACATACCAACACTTCATCAGCTTTCTTCACCAGAAGTGACACCATCAAGTTGAGTAGTATTATTACTATTATACAGTGATAAATGGTAAGCAGCAACTGGAATATTAAATATTCGGAAAAGAGATTATGAAAGTCAAAGTACCGAAGGGTAAATCAGCGTAGATTCCTGACCGACGAAGTAACTGGTAGGGACCGTATTATTCTCTAAGATATTAGGGTATCAACGCCAAGTTATCGTAGCACCTTAGAGGCGGAACGTCATTCTTACTCAAAGTAGACATTGAACTCAAATGAAAAGGTGCTCAATATTCCTCGGACTCTCCCTCCGCCCGGAATCAACCTTCCCAGATCTTCTACTCTTCCGGCGTAGAAACTTCTCATTTCGCCCTCGAAGACCTTTCTCATCAAATCTTAGGAGATGCCCGGCCGAAGGCTACACAACTGGTGGTAGCTTCCAACTTCCCACATCCTCTTGCTTCCCTAGTGTTCTACCATGATAGAACTGAACAAGGAGCTTGTGATTACCTCAGTAGCAAATGAAGTAAGGTAATGGTCCACCGGAGCCTGATCTGGTCCAGAATTTCCATTGACGGTCGGATAGACTGACGGATCAAGGTAGCCGTATACTGCCCAGTACATGTTGCGAATTGTAGAGAAAATACTAAAGCACTATTAATGGAAAATAAGAAAAAGTCCAGATTCTAAAGAATTGAAATCTAAAGAGTTAAATTATGTGGGTATTGGGACTTCCTGAAGACACTCACGTGCCGAATCGGGTGTTCATGGCTTCTTGGGTGCCATCTTCTTTGACGACAACACTGTTCAGGTATGGTTGTACGAGCAGGTTGACACCGACGGCAAACGACAGCATAACGACGCCCATAACGACCAGATAGTTGTAGATTGTTGATATACAACTTCCCACGGAAATCTGTTATGGATGAAAGTTACACTGGACAAATCTTTTGGGAAATGTTACAGTAATCCCACCACACTTCCACCGATTCCTTTGATGAGCTGAAAGAAATAGAACACCCTCCAAAAGCCGAGTATACATCCTGTACACAAATATATGTCATAGATCAGGAAGTAGTCCCATGCTGGCTGTAATGGGTGAGATTGAAGTACTGCGAAGGTTACATCCTCTGGCGACAGCTCACCCAATGAATTCGACTGAGGAGTTCAAGGTCAGGCTCCATCGGCATCAGAACTCCGCAGATCCATAGATGAAAAGCTAGGCAGAACGAGCCTATTAGCAAAAAGTCGAACCTAAACGCTCAATGCTAGAGAATCATCTTGGGTTTCTTAGAGATTTATAAAGAATAAGCCGTGGACCCACCATCGCCACCAAAATGCGAAATAATTCCGAAATCCAAATCGTGAAAACTGTATATATCGTTCCAGCATTAATCCAAGTATATACAGATAGCAGTAAGCCTCGATTGCTATCCCGAAAGCTAAAAAGTCAGCTGCTCTAAATTGCCGCCTGCGATGCAGAATTAGGCGATGCCAAGTGGAGCGATTGCCGCGTATGAACCGCTGACTATAAACTGCCCAGTTATATGCTCGTTGGTGCAGTGTCGGAAGGAATCTATTCAAGAATAGTGTCAGGGGTTGCAGATTGCTTTCTGAAGGAATGAGTTTTTATTTAGGAGTTAAATGAGATCTTTTGAAGTGTTCAATCCAGCCTGAGGATGGGCCCCGCATTAGAATGTTGGTGAACTTTTAAAACGGATGCGTCCCATACAATGATTTGTGGCAGCGAGCCGATGTATGTACAAGCCGGTGCTTCTACCTTCCCAGACGAGTCAGCTACCGATTGACTGAACCCTGAGGAACGGAATGCTTGGTTGAGCCTGACAGATATCGAACCGGATTCGGTCCTTGGACCATGTGGAAGGTGTCCCCCATATCATAACACCTTCGCCCTATACAAATTAAGGAAACTTACGGTATCCTCTTGGTGTGTGGGCAGTTTTGGCTTGCTCTCCGATCTTTGCAAAACGGATAACAATTAGGCATGCTACAAATGTGGCATAGCTAGACATATAGCTGATGTACCTAAAATGAATGTACTTCCATAACATTCCACAGTGAGGTAAGCGGTGCTTCTTCATTCCGTGAAGGTAACATCCCTATTTGTCCCTAGATGTACCCTAGAGGGCCAAGCATTAGACCGGGAAACTCCTCACCTTGCAAGAGGCACATCAAACGAAGAAGCTAGTTTTCCATTACTGAAGATATAAAGCAAAGCTAGTATAGGATAAAGGAATACATGTCGTAGTACTCGATAGGAATCCCGAGCTGGATTCGTGCCAAAATTTCCCCAACCTGAACAGCAGCACTCATTCAGTCACTGGAACCACTAGGTTAGGTGGGCATTACCTCTCCACCAAATGCAGGACATTGCTCGTTGTACATTGGGGCTACCGGCGAAATGACGCATTCGAGCTTCGAGAGCTAACTGAATTCTGGGATAAGGAGCTGCACAAGATGAGAGGGAGCAGTGACACTTCTGAACGAGACATAATGATCCACCACTGATTCCGAGAACCGAGGTGTAACCTACATGAGCAAGAAATATGTCCAGTTCTTCCACTCTCCAGTTATTCTCAATTATACGACACGTGAATCGTTGTATGTTGTTATAGAGCACGCGGTAGGTGTCCTGCAACAGAATCCATGTAGGAATCTTGCAGAGTTGTGGGAAAACTCGGGATCAGGCATGGTTTCGCTTGTCATAGTAAAGAGACGCTCTGGAGCTCAAACAGGTGGCGACATTCAGTTCTATTGCGTCGAATTGGGCAAAGGGCCTGTGAAATGCCCAGTTCTATGTAAAGGCGTCAACACACAGAGGAAACGGCCCATGAATCTTGAGGGCAATCTCGTCCAAACGCATTCTGCTGAGGTGAGATACAGTACAAGGCCAAGAATGTACTGGCTTCAAAAAAATATGGCTTTTAGTGTTTCCTATGGGGAATACTGGGTAAATATCCAGAGTTATTGATCTCAGTGTACTAACCATGAACTCGAAATTATCGTTTTTCATACAAATGGCGAGGTCCTGTGAGAGTGAGCAGGCGGCCGCAAACGGGTCATCGGTAGCAAGCCAAAGGAAGGCTTCAGAGCATACAGCTCGTAATGCGTCCACCTGGAAGGAAATCTTGGGTAGATTCTCAAGAAAATCCAGAAAGAATGGAAAAGGAGCGTAGTGGGGCGAACAGATGGTAGGTTTTACTCCTTTCTCTAGAATCCTCTGACTACTGGTCCTCTGCGCTATGAAGTTGAAATGAATCCTGATACTCACTCTTCTTAAACCGTCCATGTTGTTGTTTGACATTCGTAAACAAACAACGCATTTACCTAAATTTCCATATGAAGCGGAATAGATGCATCCACTGAAAAATTTCTTGGGAAGGCTTACAGGTAACGTGATGAGGAAGATCGATGGAATGACCCCTGAGTAGAAGGCATTGAACGATGGAGAAGTTGTTCAGAATACTTGCGAGCATCAACGGAGTCATATGGGGCAGGAAACCGGGAGAATTCGAACAACCTGGAAGTCAGAAGTGATTTTGTCCGAAGAGCGAGTATTCAGGGATTTCTAGCAAATGTGCCAAATTAACCAGAAAATCAAAAGCGCTACTTAGCGTTGATATGACCGCGATTGAGTTTAAGCAACGGCAAGTGGGGCTATTCCTACCTCCACGGTCCACTAACCGATTTCCTTGGCTAAACAAGCCCTTTGCGCCATCAGGGTAGATATTTGGTTTCAGGCTTACAATTCCGAAGTTACACACAAACAGGCTGCTTTCATAGTCCACGACCAGACGCGCGACCGGCCGCGCGATCTGCTCGAGACCGTCCTCGGCGGCACCCATAACTAGCGCGGCCTCCATAGGGAAGCAGCCAGGAGGGTTCAGAACGCTTTGCTGCTAGATGGTCTAGCAGCGAAAAAAGCTGGACAAGCCCATCAAAATTTTGCTCTTTAACACCCCGCTTCCCCGGGTGTACGAGTTGCCGCGGTTTGGCAGTTGCCGCGGTTCGGCTCCAACGTTGCAGAGCAGAGATTGCGTGCTGTGAGTGAATGAGAAGACAGCACATAAAGCGATGAATTAAAGAAATGCCGGCTCAGAGGTAAACATACTGATTCATTTGTAGGGACAGGGCTGAAGTTTGGGGCGTTCTTGACGGACTTCAGTATCAACAACTCCTTCTCTTGGACTTTGTCAAAGCGATAGCTACCTATTACCTAGAGCCTATCCTTTTTCCGCGGCACCTTTTAGAATCCTCTACGTGNAAGTTACGTTTTTTAGGCGTTTTTTATAGGTATCTTTTAAATGATTCAGGAAGATATACTCCTCAACAAATCTCTTCAACTGCCTCGAATCATTATCTAAAATAACGAACCACTGCGTTCTTCATGTGGAAAGTCTCTGAACAATGACAGAATCAGCTCGACCAGCGGCCTACTACCAATACAAATGGCTATCATAAGAGCTTCTTTAGTCATCTCAGCTGATTTTGGTGCTTGTAGAAGCTTGCATAGGTATTCCATTTGTACATCCTTAATCAGTTCGTTCATCGTAGTCGAATAAGCTGTGGGTATTCATTGAACATTCGCTGGTTTATATGAATATCAAAGCAGTTCTAAGTTGTAGTTAGAATTTTGTAATGACCGATGGGCAGAGGTGATGCAATTGCAAGTAGCGCATTATCATAAACGTATGGTCACGTGTTTGAATCCGCAATCGATATCCGTCTAGGCCTACCATGCTTTCTGTCCCCACCAGACTCGTCTGGGAAGTAAAAAGCACTGACTTAATGCGCCAAGCACGGTTCCTCGTGGTAG